GACAGGTGCATTTGATCACGAAGAAAAGAAGTTTTGATTCTCGTGAGGAGATGCAAAATTATGCGGAACGGAGATATCAGGAGGTGGTGACGCGTTTTGGCTATCATGAGCGTCTCATAAGCTGTTCAGACGACAACACCATGTTCTTGTGGGCACCGCAAGAGCAGACTACTCCATTGGGGCGATTAACGGGTCACCAGGGAGCCGTGTTTCACATCCAGTTTAGCCCCGACGGAACTCTGATCGCTTCATGCTCCGCTGATAAGAGCGTCAAGTTGTGGAACGCCGCGGATGGAAAGTTTATTACAACGTTTAGGGGGGCATGTGGCTCCCGTGTATCACGTGAGCTGGAGCCTCGACTCCCGTCTTTTGGTCTCCGGTGGCCGCGATTCCACCCTAAAACTTTGGTCCGTCTCAAAACGGGAGTTGGTGGAGGATCTTGCGGGCCACTGCGATGAGATTTTCTCAACCGACTGGAGCCCCGATGGGCAGCGGGTTGCAACGGGCTCAAAGGACAAAAAAGTTCTCATTTGGGTTCATTAAATGCGAGTAGGCCATACAAATCCACATGTAACCCTATCCGTCGGTCTGCGTGTGCGTGTGTGTGTGCGTCTGTCTGCCACTGAAAATAAATCTTAAAATAAATGAAAATATGAGAGAGAAGTGGGAGGATCGCCCTTGTCTTGCTGCAATAAACATATTTACTTTTGCACACCTCTCTTTCCTTCTCTTTTTCTCTCTCTCTATTTTCATTTCTTTTTTTTCTTTTACTTTTTTCTCTTTCTTCTTTGGTTGGTTTTCTCCCCCTCTACGCACCTGTCTCCGTGTGTGTTTCTTGTCGAAATGCGGAATAGAACACGAAGTGAGCACCACGGACATGACGAGTTTAAACAAAAGCGAGACGCAGAACATCTCTGCCGCCGAAGAAAAGGTTCCAAGTAATCTTCCGCAATGGACGAAAGGCAACTATGAAATTAACTGGGTGGCCGTCGCCGTTTTGGCTCTACCTCCCACGATGGTTTTTGCGGCCATTTTGGCGGGTATTCCCCTGCTTCCAAAGACTTTTGCGGTAGCAGCATTTTTCTATGTGTTCAACGGCATGATTGGTATTACACTTGGTTACCACCGCCTTTTTTCGCATCGAAGCTTTGTTGCGCACCCGATACTTCAGTGGATTTGCGTATTTGCTGGTGCGGGTGCTTTTGAAGGCTCTGCCAAGTGGTGGGGCCGCAATCATCGCATCCACCATAGCTACGTGGACACCCCTAAAGATCCATACGATGCCACTCGTGGG